CCCTAGGGCCGCCGCCGCTGACCGCCGAGCCGTTCGCGCAGCTCGGCCTGCGCCGCCGAGCCCACCCCGAAGACTGAGGAACGTCGTCGTCGCCGCTGCCGTCGACGCCTCTGCGGCTGCTGGTCCCCGCCCTCACCCGCCCACATGCTGACTGTAGAAGCACCGCCCCCTCGGGCCGGAGCCCCTGCCTCGCTGGGGCGCGCCCTCTCCTAAGGCCCCCATTGGTCCGATCAGGCCGGTTCCGCGTACCGGCCTGTAGACACAGCGCGACGATTGGTTGACGGGCTTGCCTGCCTGACGTAACCAATGGACTGGGGGAAGGGCGGTGTAAGCGTCAGGAGGAGGGGGTGGAGCTAACAGTGGTGGCGTCCGAGCCAACCAAGGGGGAGAGACTAGATAAAGGGAGTGAGCATGCGCAATTGCTCGCGGCCCCCGAGCCGGGGGCGCCCTGCGGGAGTCACGTGAGCCGGCTAGCGACCGCACCCGCAGGGACTTTTCCGGAGCCTCCAGGCCCCTGGGAACGCGGAATCCAGTGCGGCGACTGCGCTGCGGGGACAAGGAGTGGTGGAGGCAACGGCCTGCTCACTGCAACCCCTAGGTTTTCAAAGGGAACGGAGAAGAAGAGAAAGAGCACAACAAAATGCCTAACTTGTGTCCAAGTTTGCAAAGCGCCTCCCCTTGTTTATTTCAGTCCCATATCTGCTTAGAGCAATAAACACTCTCAGGGGTGCGGCGAGCACGCGCTTCTTCCGGCTTGTGCACCCGCACTGCCAGAGCTAGCCGCCTGAAATCCTCTCGGTGTACAGTAGGCTACCGACATCCCTACCCAAGGCTCGCGGGCCGTGTTGTATCAGCCGAGGCCCCACAACATCAGAATGAGCGTTTTGCTGGATTCCCGGGACAAGAACGCAGCGACCCCTCCTCTCCCCGCCCCGCCCCGCACCTGTCCGGTAGAGCACACTCCAAGGCCGCTTGCGGCCTCGGAGTGGGAGACCCAGCCTCAGGGGGCCAAGTCCTGCGCAGGCCTCTCCGTAGCTGCCGTGCACAGTTACGGTGCCCAGTCATGGTGCTCATCCCTGACTCCTCACAGATGACGCTGGCCGTGCGTCTTGGGGCCTGGAAAGGGGCTGCATGCATGGTTATCTGGCCCCGGGCATTGATCTGGACAGGAGAGCCAGTGAATAGATGATGATGGCACAGAGGCAGACCTGGCCTTATAACTTACATGCCCAGGTAGGGGCCTAAACCAGCATGGGGGCTTAGAGAAGGTCTGTGGACTGCAAACTGCAACTTGGCTTTAAAACCCTAATGGTTTCCCATCGCCTTTGGAAGTCAATCAGAACCCCTCACCGTGGCCTCTGGACCCACTTGCTCAGTTTTCATCTCACCCTTGGATCACACTGCCCACCCATACTGACACTCTGGCCATTTATCCAGGATGCCAAGCTCTTTTCCGGCCACAGGGCTTTACTCCTCTTGGGAAGTTCCTCCCTGCTGGTCCCTCAAGGAGAATAGCCCCTGTCTGACCAGGACTAGTAGAAGTAAGCGCTCTCCACACATTCTCCCTAGTGCCTTGTTTTGTGTTTACATAGTCGGTATCACAATCTGAAATGATGGACACACTCTGAACTTGCTTGTTTATTGCAAGTCTCCTCTCACCAAGAAGTTAAGTTCGAAGAGAACTTGTCAATTTTGTTCCTGGTTGAATCCTGAAAGATCAGAAGGATAGAGAAATGGGAGATGAGAGCTGGGGCGACAGGACAAGCCAGGCAAAAGGAGTAGAAGTGTAAAGGTTAAGGGGTATTTAGACCAAGTTCTTTCCCAAGTTCATCAGCAATACTTTGTCAACTCCACGTTAGAGTCAGGGATCCTAAAACCACACACACAAAAAAACCACACAAATCCATCCAGTCGAATTCTACTCTGGGCAGTCCCCAATATGTCAGAGTAGAACTACACTCTTTAGCGTCTTGGTGTGACGCTATAGGGTAAACACCGGACTACTAACCGCAAGTTGGGCGGTTCAAACCAACCAACCACTCCTCGGAAACCCCATACAGAGTTGCTGGCAGAATCAAGTGGATAAAACAACAACAAATCTCCCAGAGGAATCCTGGTGTGCTGTAAATGGTTAAGCACCCAATGACTGAAAGGTAAGTGGTTCAAACCCACCCAAAGGCTTCTCATAAGAAAGTGCTGGGAATCTGGTTAAAAACTGTCACAGCCTTCAAAACCTATGGAGCATAGTTCTACCCTGAAATACCTGGGATTAATCCTCCAGAATTAAATCACCAGGGGCGTATACCTTTCTTCCAAATTGCCCTTTGTACTACCCAAAGATCTGGTGTTTACTTATTTTATACACCAATTTATTGATTCTATGTTGTTAAGGAGCTCTGGTGGCATTGTTGTGGTTAGGTGCCATCGAGTCGGCACCGACTCATAGCAACCTTATGCACAGCAGAAGGAAACAATGTCCGATCCTGAGCCAACCTCACTACTGTTGCCACACTTGAGTCCATCAATGCTGCCACCTGGCCAATCCATCTCGTTGGAGGTCTTCATCTTTTTCTCTGGCCCTCCACCTTACCAAACATGATATCCTTCTCCAGAGACTGTTCCCTCCTGACAATATGTTCAAAGTATGAGAGACGAAGTTTGGCCATCTTGTCCTCTAAGGAGCACTCTGGCAGCACTTCCTCCAAAACAGATCTATTGGTTCTTTTGGCAGCCCATGGCATAATTCAAAGGCATCTATTCTTCTACAGTCTCCCTTATTCACTGGTGGTGTAGTGGTTGCGAATCAGGCTGCTAACCTCCAGGTCGGCAGTTCAAAACTACCAGCTGTTCCGCCAAAGATGAGGCTTTTTGCTCCCATAAAAATTTGCAGCCTCGGAAACCCACAGGGTTGCTATGAGTAGGAAAGGACTCCACAGTACTTAACATGTTGTTAGTTGCTTTAGTGTTGACTGGCAGAATTGACACAAATGAATTATGGTGTTGACAAAGAATATTGTGTAAACCATAGACGGCCAAAAGAACAAACAAATCTGTCTTGGGACAAGTACAGCCAGAATGCCCCTTAGAAGCCAAGGATGATGAAACTCACTACTTTGGACATTATCAGGAGACATCAATATCTGGAGAAAGACACCATACTTGGTAAAACAAGAGGGCCATGGGGGGGACAAAAGGAAGACCCTCAATGAAGTGGGTTGATACAGTGGCTGCAACAGTGGGTTCAAACATAGTAACAATTGTGAGAATGGAAACATTTTATTGTTGTATTTGAAGTTGCTGTGAAATCCACCAACAATAACTTGGTCTAGTAAAGAAATCAACCTAGTTTCTCAGTTGCTCATTAGGTTTGTTTGTGTCTGTTTGTTTACAATTTTATATTTTCCTTGCCTTACAATATTTTGTAAATAGGCAAATATTTTACTGTATCACTTGTGAGTTTTGTTCCAGGCTTGGAGAGGTTTTCCATACTCCCAAGATTCTTTTTTCTAGTGATTGAATAAAAAATGAAATGGCAGGCCACTTTTTTCTTAACCTATTTGACAAGACAGAAATGTCAAGAGAATACCAAATACCCATAGAGCATTCATGATCTATAATGAATGATTTAATCACAGTCGGTAGCAAAAACGGTCTTACAGACTAATTGCTTTCAGAAAAGGTCAAAATAAGACTCAAAAGACATGAGAAAAATCAAATGATCATTTAAAGTACAAACACAATAAATGGATAAATAGAACATCTTTTATTTTGCATTTAACAATACACAATTCAACAAACATGTTTCAGTATGAGTAGCGTTTTTTGTGTTTTTAGCCCATTACCTGCTGAAGTTTACAAGAAATATTGTTGAGTTGTTGTTGTTGTTGTATTGTTGAGTTGGATACATATATTAATACTCCTGTATTTCCCTTCCATTACAGTAGAATATAGGAAGCTCAGCTCTGTGCAGGTAAATTTCAGTGTCTACTACTGCTTCAAAAGTCACACAGTGCCCAAGCCCTGACTGCTATTATTTCAGGTGTGTGCCTTATCCCTGGACTTATTTAAGATAATAAAATTTCCTTTTTGTATAAGGAATAAAGAAGTCACACTTTCTTCGTCTCTTACAGTTTTCTAGAGAATGAATAGTTACTCTTCTCCTTCCCTTTAATCCAGACACAATTTGAGAACATTCTGACTCTGCCCTTTGGTAACAACACGTTTTCAGCCATTGGTCCAAGGGAGAATGAAATCAAATTGCATAACTGCTGCATGTATAATAAAAATTGACAAACATTACTTTTATATTTAAAGGGCCTAGTCCTGGTATGGATCCCTGGTGTGATGCTGTGGGATAAAGCACCAGACCACAAGGTTGGTTTGAATGGCAAGGTTGTCAGTTCAAACTCACCAGCCGCTCCTTGGGAACCCTGTACAGGGTCGTTAAGAGTCAGAACTGACTTGATAGCACTTGGCAACAGCCCTGATGTGGTGATCTTGTGTGGCACTATGGGTTAATGCTCTTGACTGCAGAGTCAGTTTGAACCACAAGATTTGAACCCCATACAAGTTCGCTATGAGTCGAAAGCGACTCAACAACCAACAACAACAAATCCTAAAGTGGTGCTGTAGGATAAAGCACTGGAACACAAGGTCAGTGGTTCAAACCCACCAGTCGCTTCTGCATCTCAGAAACCTATGAATCACTCCTTGGTTCACTATGAATTAGGAACAATTCAACAGCACATAACAACAACAACAACCACTGTTAGGGTCACTGTTAATTAGAATGGATTCAATGACCTGACCGTGTGTTTGATTCCGTTGGGTTTTTTGTTTTTTTTTAACAAAAGGTAGAAACCCTGGTAAAGCAGTATGTTAATCACTGGGCTTTTACCCAAAGATTGGAAACCCTCTGGGGACAGTTCTACTCTGTCCTATAGCGTTACTGTTAAGTGCAGTCTAGTCAGTTCCTACTCACAATGACCTGTTTCCAAGGAGCCACTGACAGGTTTGAACCACCAATCTTACAGTTAGCAGTTCAGTGCATATCCAGTAGCACCACACCAGGACTCTCTAAATTGCTGTAAAGCAGTTCTACTCTAACACAGTCCTTAGTAATTATAATCTGTATCTATTAGTTTGT